CAGTGAAAGCTATTTCTCCTTTAATCTACTTCACACAGTTTTTGATTCTGCATGACAAAAAATCAGTCTGTTACTTGTTAGGATTTCTGGGGACAGACTGACCATGGCAGAGACAGTAGGGGATGCTGCAATTATTGCAATGTAAAATGATGAGAGCTCAGCTAAGTGTCCTGGTATGACAGCTGACAGAACATGTGTAACACGCCAAAACAACTGCAACAGGGTTCACAATTTTCTTCTGCTGGGCTGTTGGCAGGATGGTGTGAGTGTCCTCTGAGCAGCAAATGAAGCAATCGGTCTCCTTGTGCCCAGGTGTCTTTGCAAGAGACTGAGCAGAACATCCCCCACTCCATGGCTTCTAGCTCAGTCCTGCTCTAGAATCTCTTGGTCCTGAGTCACATGCAAAAGAACGGAAAAAAGGTTTCATGCTAAAATTTAGCTGGGTCCTTCAGGCAGGTGGTCATGCTACTGTCAGGTTTGTATGCTTGTTTCTCCATTTGCATTCCCTTCAATTAGCTGACAAAATTTCCTCATGCTGTCCTTTATGCATCACAACATGGCATCCTTGTTTGTAGACCTGTGTGGCCAGTATTATGGTGATCTTCCAAAACTGGCATAGGCCTAGTACTTGAACACCAGGACTTCCCACAGTGTCTCAGACAGTGGGAAGGTCTGGGACATGTGCAGAGAGGTATTTGATTACTTTATAATCAGATTGGCTGAGTGGAGCAGGGCACAGAGCACCGTATAAAAGCAGCTGGACTCTTGGTGACCATGCTCTGTAGCCAATGTTCAAACACCTAAAGGAACACTATAATGAAAAACCTTTTTATGGTGTGAATCCAGAACAATCGATCAATTTCATTGATTATTAGAAATAGCTTTTCATAGACCTGGCTTTTCTTATACTAATGCAAGTGTGTGTGTGTTTGAGCAGAGGACTTCTGAACTGACAGACTTTGCCCTTAGCCAAAGACCCCATTTGTCTGGAGACATACTGCACTGGAACTGGGCTCTGCTTTTATGAAGCCAGCGGGGCATTTGCTAAGGGTTAGAGATACTATCGGGCCTTTGGTCACTATAAGGGCTGGCAGACACTGTTCTGTGATGGCAGAATAGCTCTGCTGCTCTGCATCCTTCCCAACACTGTCACTGCCACATCCAGCTCTGGTTGCTTTTGATATAAGAACTTTCATCCACATTCTTTTATCTTAGGCAGGACAAGAATAATATAGCCCTTAATTTATAGTAAACATGGACCCATTTAAAATAAATCCCTCAATTTGTCTTACAAATACCATTTAAGTGCTTTTGAATTGAAGAGATGTTTGAAAAACCATTTCCTATCAGAGATGCTATTTGTTTCATTTTATGCAGTTCATTCATCTTAGTTGATTGGAGAAAAAAAAAAAAAGCCAACCCCAGCTAGTGAGAGTAAACCTTGTCATAGTACTATGCTGCTGGAGATTTTGCAGCATTTTTTATTTGGAGCCTACCTCCACACATATTATTTACAATAAGTATTACATCTTAATATAAAAGTAATTTGGGGGTTAGATGCTGTGCAGAATTTCAAGAAGATAATTCTGAATTGACTGGCATTTTTGTATGCCTGATTTAACATTTGTAATTGAGCCTGATTTCTTTGTTCAGGGGGAATGCACCAATTTTCTCTGAAAAAAGTATCCAACTGGACACTCAGGCCCCTAATGACTATAGGGAACTTGGTCTACATGATTTATTTAAGAGACAATTATAAATAGACATATGTATGTTTATGTAAGGTGTACATAAACATCTATGAAGTAGAAAGGCAACTAGTCTTATCCTTAAAAGGAAACAATAACACAGGTTTCCATGTACCATGTAACCGTGGAGTTGTGTAGTTTTATAAAGAAAACTTGTGGTTGGTGAATTCCTTCATCTTAAGGTCACATAGAATTATAATCTTAATTATTGCTGACTTGCTTAAAATGATTGCAGCTGCTCTCTTCTGGTTGATAGACCTCTTCTCAGAAATTGTTCCTAAGATACTTCTTAACTCTCCATTTTGTGTTTCTACGTAATACGCTGGATGAAAAACATTCCCTCTCTTCTTTGTCAAGATCCTTCTCTGCTTGTTTCATCCAGAATAATGCAGGAGGACCTGCAGAGTTGTAGTTTATCCCTTCTTGCCATACGGAAAGGAAAAAACATTCCTTGGCCAATTCTTATCTGCTATTCTTGTATCACTTTATCAGTGAAAGGAATGGGAAAGTCAAATGACTAATCTCTTCAGCTATTAGCAACTTCTGTATGTAAGTATCACTCTACAGTTCTTTCCTCCAACTGTTCCGAGATAATTTCAGATTACTTTAGGCTTTGGCTAATATGTCTTCCATTTTTACTGGAATTAGAGTGAAAAATATCATAGTCCCTTTTTTTTAAGGATGCCTAAAAATGTTAGGAAAATCTTTCTAGCAGAACAGGCCTTACCAGCACCCTCAGGAACATCCTGGCTGTCAAAATTAAAATATTGGTGTCTGCTTTTGTCTAAGAACTGAAACACAGATTGGTATTGCTTGTGGTCACTGCAGCTACATGAAAAATACCACTGTACACACACTGTACATGGAAACAGAAATTCATTCAAACTCCAGATGGCATATTGATGTATATGCACACAGTCCTACAGCCACATTGCTGCCCATAGCCTTCCCTACAGACCAAACCCTATTTGGACCACATGAATTAATTCTGAGGTACAAATTGAGACAGGACCTGAGCGTTAAGAGAGAGTCCAGAATTGCTATGGTGCTTTCAGGAGACTTTCCTCCCTCAGGAACACTGGCCATATCTATGTTTTGCCCTGCAAATACATACCTGTTCACTGGAACTCAATTCTCTGGCATGTGGGATCCAGCCCTCCTTGCCTGTCTCTTGAGCAGTACCTTCCTCACTGCTCCTGGACATAGAGAATGCTAAGTAGGTACAAGCCACCGTGTTTTCCTTGGAGGGTCCTTTCAGTGAGAGGTATGCAAAGCCTGGACAATGCATCAGCACTGGAGCTGAGCATATGGTGTTGGGCCTGGCATCTGATTTCCTGCAGGACAAGTGTAGCTGGCAGGGAAGCATGGGGAGTGCTTTCCTCAGTGCTCTTGTCTTTAGGGGCTCACCAAGGACCATCTGAGCCCATCCAAATCTCCTACCAAGACCCATACATTGGCAGGGTGGGCATCTGCCCCCCTAGAGTAACTACATATCCTGAAGACTGCGCTTGGCACTTCCACCTGGAGGGGGTCTGCTTCATTACCCTCTCTGTCTTTTACTGGTTAAGGGCAGACTTTCCCTTGGACCATTTTGGGGTGCTGAGGAGGGTAGGTGGGCACACTCTGCTCAACCACTCAGTGCTAAATCTAGGCATGGGAGAGGACAGAGTTGGATCTGCGACCACAGAGTGGATCACCGTGCTGGGGCGAGGCTGAGAGCCCCATGAACAGCATGGGTGCAGGCATCCATTGGGCAGGGCAGGATGAGGATGCAGACGCATGTTGCTTTCTGTTCAGGCTGATTTCACATTGCTTAGCTTCCAAGGGGCTCTGAGAATAGCAATTAAAGCACCAGGCTTAATTGAGGAGCATCCAATTTGGATATTAGCGCTATCTCTGCTCTCACTGCTTTCTTTTCTTTCAGATCCAATTCTGCTGCCTGCCTGCTGGCTGGGCGCCTGTTACTTTCTTCTCATTATTACTATTTTATGGTTATTGTTAATGTATTTTTTTTTTAACCATTCCTTCTCTCGGTCGCTTCCAACCACGCGAGTCGCGATCCGAGGGGGCGTCGGACCCAGGCAGCCCCCGTTGCTCTCCGCGGGGGCTGCGGCGGCAGCTCAGCCCCCGCCCCGGCCCCGGCCAGGCAGGAGGCACAGGTGCCTCTTCGCGGCTCGGCCCCCAGGCACGGGCTCCCTCTTCGCCCCTGCCGGACGTCGGAGGCCGAGACCTGCCCGCCTCGGTAGCGGTTGCTCTCCCGTTGCCCGTACTGTCTCTTCTCCTCCTCCTCCACCTCCTCCTCCTTCGTCTTCTCTTCTCCCCCCGTTTCCCCCACTGCTCACTCGCACAGCCCTCCTCCCGCTCCCCCGAGCCTCGATTTCCCACCCACCCCCCCCTCACCATTTTCCGCAGGTATGTTTAATTATTATTAATCATTAAGCTGCTTTATTAGTCCACGTTCCTATGTTTTCTCTACCTCTGGGAAGCATTCTCGGATCTTTTATATTGCAGAGGATTTTTTTTCAAGATGTATTTTTAGGGTGATGGTCTGAGCACTTCCCCCTCCCCGCCCCGCATCTCCCACCCGGGCAGTACCAGAGAAGAGACTGAAGAAGTTGAGCATGTCTGAGGCGGATCAGCCTTGCAGGCAGAGAGGGGGGCAGTAGCTACTCAGAACAGCCAGAGTGCTTGAAGCAGGATTTGCTGGTATGTATGTGGGTCTGGATTTTATGACAGCTGTAAGTGTGAATCTTTTTCCGTGCGAGATGGGAGGGGAAAAGAAAAAAAAAAAATACCTACAGCTTCATTAAATAAATGCCTGCATAGCTGTAAGCCCGGTCCGGCTGTGCACCACCGGTGGTGGCGGGGACACTCCCAGCCGCCCACCCACCCGTAGGAAAAAAAAAGAGCCCGAGCAAAACCCGGAGAGGCGAGGGTTGTGTTGCGGGAGGCGAAAGGGGGGAGGGGGGCGTGGTGGAGGGCGCGTAGTGCAAACCGGCCCCGTGGCAGGTGAAGCAGCCCCCCGTGGCCCCCCCGGCCCCGGTGGCGGTGCGTGTGCGTGTGTGTGCGCGGAGCGCGCCCCGCGCTGCCCGTGGAGCCGAGCGCGGCGGGCAGCGGTGCCGGCAGCACTGCAGAGGGGTGGGCACGGCCCTCGCCAGCCCTCGGGGGCTGGGCCCGGGGGTGGGCGAAATGCTGTGCGTGCGTGGGGAGGGGGCCGTGGCGGGGGGGGGGAGTCGCCTTCTCTCCGCGATTCACATCGCGCCCGCTTTCCCGTCTCGTATGCATGCCTATCCCGGGAATGGTGTAGTCAGCCCGTATCTGAATTATTTATAGACTCGTGCCAGCTGGGTTTTTTTTTGTTGATTTTTTTTATTATTATTATTTTTTTAAATTTCGCTTGTGTGCACTGTTGGGAAATGCGTTTTGTCTCCCTTCTTTCTCAATATATTAATGTCTTTGTTGGGGAGCGGTTTTTATCCCCTTCAGATCCCTCTAATACAAAATTGATGCTTATTTTTCCCTTCAGGAAGGGGACGCTTTGAGGATAATCATGCTTCACAGAAGAACGGCACCGACCTCCAGTTGCATTAAACACAACCTCTTCCAATAGGGCTCCAGGAAAAAAAAAAAAAAAAGAATTATAAGAATAATCATTAAAAAGGCGAGAGGAATGCTTGCTCTGGAACCTGCATTTGACGATCCTCACCAGTCGTGCTGAATATCCTCTGTAGTGATTCTCTCCAGCTTTTGAATTTGCACCGCTTCAAGACGCAAGATTGCCACAAAGAAACCTCTTTTTTTTTTTTTTTACAGCCAAGTAGGATTGTTTTTTAACTCGTTCCCCCACATTTGCCCCCCGACCCTTATTCTTCTTATGTGGATATGCAAGCAAGAAGAGGAGACTGGACATTCCCAACATGCTCTCTCCCTTGATCTGTCCGTCTAGAGGTTCTGCTTCTACAAACCAAGGTAGGGAAATTCGTTTCTGTGGTTTTGTTGGCAGCTCATTTTGGTACACGGGTTTGCCCAGGGAAGATCACTCACAGTAGAACAAAAGGTTTAGAGATGCTGCTTTTAGAAGTAGACACGGGGGGAAAAAAAATAAAATAACATTCACCAGACATGTTGATTCCCTCTTGGCTCATCAAATAGGACATGAAGAGAAGGCGAGAGGGATGCTTTGAGTTACATACCGCGTTGTGAATCGGGGAGAAGTCCCTTGTGATTTTTTTTCGGGGGTGGGCAGGTGGGGTCGGGGGAGACACGGGAGGAGGAACACGGCTTTGGAAAGGGGTGAAAACGAAAATAATTCCCATCCATCCACCCGCAAATTGCCTCCTTCTTTTCGCTGGTCCAGCGGCTTCTTGCCATGCTTTGATGTGAAGATAGAGCTCATTAGGAACAACAGGACGTAGAAACCTGCTTGTTGCCGAGGAGGGTGGTGCATTACTTAGAACCCACGCCGGTCTCTCGATCGTGAGCGGCCTAACGCGGGGGCCGGGGCCCGGGGGGGGGCCGGGGCCGGGGCCCGGGGGGTGGCCGGGGCCGCCCCTGGCACCGCGGCAGGAGCCCGCCCAGCGCCGGGGCGAGTGCGCCTGCTTGCGTGGAGGTGAAGGGCTATTTTAAGTCCAAGCACGTCAAGAGACTTATCGTGAACCTACGAGGCGCTGTATTCAGGCAACTTCACGTGTTTTAATTCATCCCCGTCCCCCTGGTGCTATCAGCGGGCATCGTGGCCCCTCTCCGCCGCGCCCCATCCTTCCCCCTGCATTCCCCGCGCCTTACGCCCCGTGTCCCTGCGCAGGCAGCCCCTTCCCCAGCCCACTCGGGAGGGATGCAAAATGGCTATCGTGCCACTCGGCTGTAGATACGCGAGAGATACCGGTGCCTCCCGACCGTAACGTGACATGTGAATCTTTCTGTAAGATGGTGGCAAGACAAAGGGAGCAGAGCGCCGTGGGGTGCGGGAGCGCCGGGCACAAGGTGTTGAACGTCTCGGGGTTATTTTAAGCCTCAGCCCGTGCCCGGCGCGCCGCTTCGCCCGGCACGCGTGGGTCTGCGCTCCCACGCCGAGAGGCGGGGGGCAGGGGTGAGCTGCTGCACAGCCCCCTCCCGGGGGCGCACCCCCACCATCCTTACCCGCATCGTCAGCCCCCCGCCTGGGCTCCCACTGACCCGCCTCTCCCTTCCTTGCGACCCTATAGCAGACCGGAAGCCTGGCGGGGGGCGGCAATACGGATCGAGAGGCTCACCCCGCTGCAGAATGAGGAGGGGCGGGGGTGGTCACCCTCCAGTCCTGCCGCGGGGTGAGGCACCCTTGAGGCACTCCCAGCCCTTGAGGCATCCGGAGCATCCTGAGGCGAGGGCGCGCCTTTCCCACCCCCTCCTTTGCCTTCATCGTTCCAGTAGCTCTATGCCACATTTCTGAGGGGGTTTTGTCGGGCTATTGTTAAAACCCAGGAGCGGTTCCGCGTCAAGGGGTTGAAAGCCACCTTTCCTGACATATTCTGGCTGTGCTTCTATAAATATCTAAGGCTTCCCAGGGTTTATCCGCGCCTGGATCCTCCCTGCCTGAGCTCTCCCTCCCTCCCATTTCCTCCGCAAGTGGGAGTAGAAAGTTTACCTATGCGGGAAGGAGGGCGTGCTGGAGCCTTTCCCCCCTTTTCGGTGAGGAATTTCTCAGGCCTCGTGGCTCCCGGATCTACCCAGAAAGCCAGCAACGACCAAGTGGGGGATTGTAGCCCGCTTGGTCGGGCATCATTTACCCCTGAGAGCCCCTAAAACACAAGCCCCGGGGGGGATGCCAGCAGGGTCTGAGGGGAGAGCAGATGCTGGGCTCAGCCCCTATTCCCTGCCCCAGCTTTTGCAGGCAGATAGGAGAGAAGAGGGGAAGGTTGCCTTGGGTGCCTGGTCAGGGTGGCAGTCCCCGGGAGTCAGGCTGGGCTGCCTGATCCTCTGGAGAGCTGCACCCATCCCTGCCCGCCCGGTGCCTGCCACAGCCACCAGCCCTGCCAGCAGGGCACTGGGCCCAAGCAGCTGCCGCATCCCTGCCACTGCCCTTCTTAGCCATACCCTGGGCCAGGTTCATGCTCCAGGTGGAGCAGGGCAGATGGGATTTGGGGAGGGGTCTTACAGCTTTGATGCTCCATCATGGGGGCAGGAGCATGGGCCTACATCCTCATCCTTCCTTTACCTCCCAGTCTCTCTTGCTGCTACCTTTACCTGTGACGACTCATGTTCTCTGCAAGCTCCAGTATCGGCAAAAGGAGATGCCCTCTAAAACTGCTCTCCCCACCATGAAACACAGCTACCTCAGGCTTTGCAAGCATTGTATGGAGGCAGCTGATCCTCTCTGAGCTGTCCCTTAGGCAGGCTGAGAGAGCCGAGTATGCAACACCCCCAGCTCATGGGGTGCTAGTGCTGCCCCATTCCCCAAGGCCTTGGGGAACAGAGCATGGGCATGGCACACTGTGTTGTGGGATGACCTGGTGTGCCCCAGCTTGCGGCTCTGGAGAAAGCAGCAGTTTGTGCGTGGGTGCAGGGTGCTCTCTTAAGAGGAGAACTGTGGGTATGGGGGATTTTTCAAGTGCTCACCCACGCCACCCCAAAGCAGCAGCTCTTGTCGCCTCCACATATCCTGGTTTTCTTTGGTCCCTCATCACACCAGCTTGCCTCCCAGTCCTGAGTGGGGGTCTCAGAGGGTTAGGACAGGATGAAACGGGTTGAGGACAGAGTGGGGAAACAGCCTGGGGGAGGTGAGATCCACTTCAGCTTCCTCTCGGCTCAGCCTTATGTACACAGGGACAGATCTCAGCAGGTAAAAGGAAAGAAGCGTAGTCCAAGCCATGACTCCTCTTCCTAGGGATCCTGGGCTCTGATCTGTTGTCACACACCTGCTGCACCAGCCCAGCTTAGCCTGTGCCAGTCTGGTGCCTCTCATGATCCTTTTGCCAGTGAGACCATCACTGGGCAAAATAAGGTGTCAGCAGCAGTCCCTAGCCATCCCATTCTGGGCAGGATAACTGCATTGTTGGCTGAGTTCTACATTGCACCTGTACATGCAAGAATGCAAAGAGATCATGGAGAGATCGAAAATACAGAGCAGGGGCAAAAATCCCAACCTGCCATCCCCATCTAATAATTTAGGCTTCGACTTGTTTTATCCTCATTTTGGATTACTGAGTCTCCTTGTATAAAAAGTCTATCAACCTATGAACCAGCACACTATCCCCAAACCCTAACCTACAGGGGGAAAAGATGATGGAATTAATGTACATGTTTCATCTGCTGTTGGAGCTGTGGCTGTTTCTTATGCTTGGTTTGGAAGCGGGCAGGTGGACCTTACTTCTAGTGCCAGAGCTATGGAGCTGTGCTTGGATTCCCACACTGGACTCACATTGCCTGGGTTGGCACCAGGAATCAGTGTCTCTGCAGTACCATGTGGGAGGTCTGGATGTGATTCCCAGTGCGTTTTCTCATTCCCCCAAGCTGGCAGAGGGTGGGAGCTCTATACAGACAGCACTGCTTATCTCTGCAGCGGGCTCCATTCCACACTCCCATCTTTTGCTCCTTAGGATGCACAGAAGCTGCCTGTGAGATAGTCCAGACTGAGGACTGGTCCCTAGAGGTTTAATCTTCTTGGCCTTTAGGGAAGCCACAGCTCTACTCTGCCAGTAGTCTACTTGGCAGCATGGTTTGGTGGGCTGCAGGGAGAGTTATCTTGCAGCTGGAGAGCACACAGAGGGTTTTTTTTATTTATTTTTATTTTTATTTTTTTTTAAATTTTCTTTGTGTAAGCTGCAATTTATCACAAAGAAATGGAATAGTTTATAGAGAAGATGGACTAGATGGTCTTTCTGAGAGAGATGGCTCAGTGTACTGTGATTGCCTAATCCACCATGGATGCTCATAGTATCTGTTCTGCCTGACATTGGGGCTCTAGGATTGCCTGACTCTTCTGCGATTCTATGATTAGCTTTCTTTGATACATATTTATACTTGATAAAAAAGCACAAACTGTTGGGAGAAATATGGCTGATCAGTTACCTGCTATTACTCTCATCTGTCCTCTGTCCACTCATTCGCGGGAACTCTAAACCACAGTGTATCAACTTATTAATCTTGTCGCTTTGCCGCAGTCAGACGGACAAGCTATGGCCCTGGGTACCTCCCTGCATAAGATGAAATGGCAGTTTGAAGATCCCAGCACTGAAATATGTGAAGGGAGAGCCAGAGAAAAATAAGATATTTGAAGCTAAGCGTGGCCCACCTGCTACCACTGCCTTGCCCCTTCTTCTGAGCCTTGTGTTTCTGCTTTAGCAAAGTACCTTATAATGGGAACTAAAAAACCCATTTCTCCAACCACAGAGGTGGTTCCACCATCCCTCTGACTTACCCTTCTTACTTGTCTGTCCATATAAAGACAGGAAAGGAGTTGCTGGCAGGGATGCTTGCTCTGGCAAAATATGTGCCATGGTGCTAACCACCTGGGAACTAGGAGATCAACCCAGTTGGATAAAATGTCAAAGCTACCTTTCATTCTCAGAAAAAAAAATAATCCACGTGAACCCACCCTTTATCATTCAGGAGCTCATTGCTTTCTTAGCTGGAAACCGTAAGCTCCCGGATGGAACTATACATTGGAGTGTGAACTGGTGTGTGTAAAAGTCAACCAAATGCATGGTGGTGATCTGTGCAAACCAGGCAGTATATCCACGTGCCTGGTGTTACTGCAGGGAAAAACACCCCCTCTCTGTGCAGTCAGAAACAAACGTGTGGCACAAGGCAGTGTGCAAACTGCACTGTGATCAAGTCAATTCAAACCATGGCTAATTTGGACCTCCCAAGGCAAGACTGCCATTTATTTAGTGTTTTCTTGGAAGCAGGAAAGAACACTGATGCTGGGCAGGAGAAGGGATTGACTTATCTTTTTAAAATTTTTACGTATACACTGAATATGCTTCATGTGC